GAGGACAACAGAGCTGCTTCATGGAAGAAGAACCTCAGCTTAGCCTGTTAGCCTTTGCGTTAGCGCCGACGCTGTATTGCCTTATATGTATTAGCTCGGTGTTAGCGCGACAAACTAACAAACTAAACTGTTGTCCTTCATCCATATTTTCAGTTGCAGACTGAGTTGTTTCTACTTTCTCTTCTCTGTCAACGCTCTCTGGTTTCATTTAATAAAGTATCTTTAGTATCTGAGTAACTTTGGGATCGATACGCTCCACGACCCAGGCTGGACGTTAATATCTACGTGGGAAATCAAAAGTAAAAAGACAAGCAACTGGACTTGTGTTTTGGAGCTGTAAACACATGGAGCTACAGATTTAAATAGTGATGTAACGTTCACGAACGATCCGAATCTTTTAAACAGCTCTTTACAACGAACGATAGGAGCCGAGTCGCGGGCAGTAACGAGCCATTTGTAGTTTTATTTATTTTATTCCTCATAATTACCTAATTTCCCTCTGGGGTCAATGAAGTATATTTGAATTTTTTGAATTGAATATAATCTTTTTTTTTCATACTTAAATTGGTCCCGCTTTGCTTTTTCACAGAAAACAGGCGGAGCGGTGGAGTACAGAAGCTCACGGGAAAGGGGGAGGGGGGGTTTCTGCTTGACAAAACAAATGGTTCCACCCACGTATCATGATGACGTCATCACGTCGCCGTATGTGATGATGTCATCATGTCGCCATACGTGATGACGGAACTAGTTCCATATCGAACGTCTCTTTTGAACGGCTCTATGAAACAAACAGCTCCTTAAGATCCGGATCCCTTCAAAGAGCCATTTATCCCAGCACTAGATTTAAACAGCGTGACTTGAGGTTAGTGTCTTATTGATCCTTCACCCCAAACTGCAGTCGCTTTGAAAACATCAGATATGAATCTGATTTAAAACCACATACTGAAACAGCCTGGGTCGGATTTAAAAAAATTGGATTTGTCACGTTCAGACTGTCATAAAAATCGGATTTGGGTCGCATTTGCCTGCAGTGTGAATGTAGCCTTAGACTACAGAGAAATGAATGGTGGGTCCTGAATCGGACATGAACCGGTGTCTGAAAGAATAAAACCAACTTGGTAAAATGAGGGCCAGCTAGGAGTGCACCCAAAAAATCCAGAACATGAACCATCTTTTAACTTCCTGCACTTTAAAGCACTTTAAACTTTATCATGTAAAATAAACTTTTTTGAGTTTTATATCATGTTATACTCATAAAAAAACATGACCAAAGCCTTGCTCTGACTCATTCATGCATGTTTGAGAAATCCTGCAGCGTTTTTAGGAAGCCATGCTGAGGAGCAAAACGACAGGTGGGGACCAGAAACGCCTTTTGGGACCAGAAACGCCCCTGGGACGTGTCTTTAAGCCGAACTTCCTCACACGGAGCACACCTCCCCACCCCACACCCCGCCCATGACTCCTGCAGGCTCTCGGCAGTAACAAAGCAAACTGAAAGTGAAACCTAACTGTCTGCTGAGCTCTCAACATTAGTTCTCACTCAGTGAAGCTCTTTTCAGATTAAAAATACCTTTGAGGAAATGTTTTCAGATGCCAGGTAAACATAGCGCACGCGCAACCCCCCCACCCCACCCCCACCCCCCAACGGGACGGAACGGAAGCAGGAGGTGGTCCTTTGGTGGTTAGCATAGCACCTCTCCCCCCTCAGCACTGAAATGGGCGGGACAGAAGCGGAAGGTGGTTCTTAAAGAGACAGAGGCTAATTTCAAGCCATTTAGAAGAGGAAATGAGAAGATAAATTTATTTTCTATTTAAACATAAAAACAGCATTTTAATAACAACTAAAGGTGACATAGATACTTTATTAATATATAGTATTTAAATATGTGCCTGAGAAACACATAATATTGGCCCTTTAAGTCTGGTGTGTCTAACACCTGCAGACCTCGGTCAGGTCAGTGAGAGGGCAAAGACGTGACTGACGAGATGATGATGATGATGATGGCGGCCTAAAAAACAGCAAACCGTCCTGCATATCCACAATAAAAAATACATCTGATTAATTTATGTGGAACACTGGAGGGCGCTCTTCTGACAGAACAACATAGACTTGAATAAGAACACTAAGAAGAAAACTTTACAGAATGAAATGTCTGAATGAGTGCTCATCCAAGACTGGTGATTCCATACTTTTGCCAGGGGTTGTATCTGTAAAACTTTTACAATAAATTAATAACTATGTTAACTTCATTCAACAATCATGTAAAACAGCAGATTTATACCACAAAAATATATAATTTATAAGTAACAATGATGTAAACCAGACCTGAAGTCAGCCTGTAACTTAGACTTTTTAGCTTTTTGAGAGATTATGACTTCAGCTAGTAATAAAGTACATTTAATATTTCTTCTTACTGTCATAAAAAATTATAATAATAAATATTTAGCTGTCATTTAGAAAATGAAAAATGTTCTCTGTATACCTGGTTATAGGATGAAACTTGTCTCTATTGGCTAACATCTTCTTAACAGGTCAGCTTCCTCTAAAAGAAACCTAAAAATACTCACATTTATATTATTTTACACTCTGCAGGTCTAAATATTAATCAGAGGACAAATGAGTTGTAATATTTTATAGTTTGTGTTAAATTATTGTTGTTGTTATTAATAGTTTTAATGCTTTCTACATAGTCAGTCTTTATTTTCTGCTCTGTACAGTAATGGTAAACCCAGACGTCACCTGGTTTCTGAGCACTCCAGCTGTTGGATATACCTCCATGCAGAACAACACTTTCATGGTTTTTATTGTCTCCCAGGACAGCCCGCAGCTCTTTTTAATAAAAGAAGAGAATCTAGGGATCATCCAGGCCTCTTCAGGTCCTGATCAGTTTCAGGATGACTCCAACCAGGATGATGATGATGATGATGGTGGTGATGATGGTGATGATGATGATTACCCAGATAACCAGGTTGGATTCTTTCATTGACTGTTTTATTGGATTTTAGTTTGTTCAGAGACATAAAAAATATTTTAGTGTGGATGATGGTCTATGAAACGAAACGATTGACGGTTCCGAATTCTTTCAGGAAGAACCAGAATCTCCGGCTGATGGTGACCCAGTTCACACCACTGAATCCACACTCCTCCCAAAGACCAGGCTGTTTGTCATAACTAAAAAAAGGAGTCAGGTCCAGAGGGAGAAAACTCTGAGCTGCCAACACTGCAGTAAGATGTTCAGCACCATGCACCATCTCAAAACTCACCAGGTCGTTCACGAGCCCAGAATCTTCGTCTGCTCTCAGTGTGGCAAGACGTTCCCCTTGAAGAAGCGCCTCAAAGATCACATGTTGCTTCACTCAGGTACGTTTTTACTCCTCATACCTCATTCAGAAAGCTACTAGTGTCAACATGTAGCAGCTGGAGTCAGAGGTTATTGTTTCAGAGGCTGTTAATAGTAGCTTTTAGCTTTAAAATATAAAGAAGTTACTGTTAGCTATTTTGCTAATTGAAGCTAAAGCAATGAGCGTTCACACAATCATCATCTGATGTAGGGCTGTGCCGTATATGCGACCGATGGTAGAAACTATATGAAGTTGGCCTACGGTAGAAATGTACCCTCTACCGTCCTGTCGTCAGTTACATCATCACACCTGTGTCAGCATGGCTGTGAGTGCAGAGACAACTGAGCAACAGGATTTCCAAATATTCTGAAAATAAGTGAAGAAATATAACTTTTTAAAACACGTATAGAGAGAATAAATCCTCAAAATTTCCACCTCCCGCTGTAGAAAAGTAACGTCATGTTGCTGGATCATTTCCTCCCTCCCTCCCGCTGCACGTCACGCAGAGCCAAGCTTTAACAACCGTAGTTTCTTCACACCCAAGTTGTTGGAGGAAAAAACTTGTTTTTTATGTATTGTTACCCACAGAGATGATAAAAAAAGATGTGGACGTTTGTTCAGTCATAAATCCATCTTCTGCTCTGACGCTACGTTTACACCAAATGCGTTGCACGCCTCCAAAAGTCTCAAAACGCACGCGTCTTGATGCTGGTGTCCAGTGAGGACAGACGCATTTGATGTGAACATAGACGCACTTTAGACGCTCGAGGGGAGGAGCCTTTTTAAACAGAAAATTTACCAAACATGCCGACTTCCTCACTAATAGTCCTCCAGGCAAAGTCCTTTTTATTTCTATCACGATAATGGAAACAGGAATGATCATAAATGATCGGACTATCAGTTTTTCCTCCATTGTTTGTGCGATCCGAATTCCCGGGCTACCAGTGCGTCACTGAGCAGAGTCTCTCTGATTGGTTGATGTGACGCGTTGAGCAGCAGAACTTCAGATTTTCCAACTCACACGTCGGACGCTTTGGACGTGCTGCACACACGGAAAATGTTCATGACGTGTGCACTGCTTCGAACCGCGCTGCTCGAAATGCGTCAGATGCGCTGCTCGGCTTCTAGACGCCCCTAGATGCACATCCACCATTGACTTTGCAAGTCAATGCTGCTCCTGATGCTCAAAACGCGTTTGGTGTAAATGTACCATGAGAGCAGCAGAGCAGCAGCTGATAAGTTCAGCAGGCAGAAGCTCATTATATGGCAGGCAGATGTTACTTTTATTTGGCTCCACCACACTTACATTCCAGTTGTCTGAAATTGTCATGAGCCCTATGCCCCCGGAACGGGCGGCAACACAGTTTTTTTTTTTTTTTTTCATTTTCTATTTCTTTTAACTTCTTTTAATTTAAGATCTGTCAGTTGAACCTGGACATGTTTGGTATCAAAAGAAACCTAAGAAACTATTTTAACTTTCACCAAACACAGTTGAAATGACAGGCAGTTGGATCAGAAATTAAAACTGTACAAAATGGAATCTTTGCAAATCTGTAAATACATTCAATCAAACCAGTAAAGGAAAAATCTTTGACATTTGTTTTTAAAGTAAGTAATGCTAAATTACTTCTTTACTAAAACCTCTGTAACTTTGCTCCAGTTAATTTCAGCAGCATGAATCTTTGCACAGGTGATGTTCACAAGTGGATTTATGGTTTCCAAGAGTTTTTAGCCTGATTCATTATGGTTTTAAATAGGTTATATACTGTAATGAAAAAATTATTCAGGTGAGAGTGAAAAAAATTAAAATATTATGTTCCATCCTCAATTTCTCTAAAACCACAGCAGCTGTTTTAATACCAACACTTCTGATGAAATCTTTCAAGTCTTAGATTTATTTTGATACTAAGATTATTTAAGTAGAGTTTGTAAATGCTCAAATACACTCAGTTACATTTCAGCATGGGATTTACAGAAAAAACTTCAAGAAAACCTCTTGGGGCTTAAGAGGTTAAGGTCCTGTCAGACTATAAGATTTTAGGCAACTTATGCCAACTTAGAATTTTTTTTATGTCTAAATGACTTATTTTACTTGAAGTACTGGTTATAACATCCCCTTTATTTTGATATTGTTGAAATTTTGAGAAAAGTTTTTGTTTGTTGTTAAAACTGTTTTGTAATATATATATATATATATATATATATATAACATTCTTTTGTTCTTCTGTTATGTTCATTTACACTACAGCAATAATGCTGGGTTTGATTATGGTTACAGTTTTCTGCTAAATAAATGCTCTAAAAATTACATAATCTTTGCTTTTTATGATAATTTTCTACCGCGATATATACCGTTACTGTGAAGGGATTCAATTTATTCCCTGATATGAATTTGAGGTCATACCACCCAGCCCTAATCTGATGTGTCGTCTTTATCTTTAGATGAAAGGCCACACGTCTGTGATGTCTGTGGGAAAAGTTTCACCCTGAAGAATCTCCTGAGAACCCACCGGCGCCTCCACGACAACCTGCGTCCGTTTCAGTGCGATCAGTGCGGTAAAACTTTTAACATGAGGAACTGCCTGAAGCGGCACCAGAGGGTCCACACCGGGGAGCGTCTGTACAGCTGCTCGTACTGCAACAAACGCTTCACCTTAGCAGGTAACCTGCGGCGCCACCTGCGCATACACACGGGGGAGAAGCCTTACATATGTGAGATTTGTGGGAAAAGCTTCAACCAGAGGGACACTCTGAAGAGCCACCAGCGGAGACACACCGGCGAGCGCCCCTTCAGCTGCGAAACCTGCGGCAAATCTTTCGTTCAGAGTACTGACCTGAAGTCGCATCGGAGGCTTGTTCACTCGGAGCAGAAGCTGCCGTGTGACGTGTGCGGCGCCGTGACCACTTGTATTATACCTCCTCAACAAGACCCCCAGAGTCACCCCGAGACCGTTCCCTGCGTGGGCTGCGGCCAGCAGCTCAGCGTCGTCCGCAGACTGAGCGAGGACAAGCAGCAGGGCGCTGTGGACGAGCGGCACGGCTGCAGCGTCTGCGGCAAGAGCTTCAAGTCGTCCAGCTACGTGAAGATCCACATGAGGGTGCACAGCGGAGAGAGGTTCTCCTGCGAAACCTGCGGAAACACGTTCACACAGCAATGCAGCCTGAAGGCACATCAGGTTGGTTTACTTTAGAATTACCATTCAGTTACAACAAACGAATGAACACACGCTGAAATTAAACGCATGTAACAAACAGTATTGGTATTTACATTCAGATACAGATATTGCACAGTTTTCAGTGAATTTCGATAGTTAATTATCCAGAGAAGTTGCATTTCTTGTGAAACTGCAGTGTGAATGCTTTTTACTGAAAGCTGCTGAAGAAGCTGAAAGTCTTTACTAACAAAACTTTTCAACTTGAACAACTGACGTTTGCTGAAAGTAAGAGGAAAAATGGAAAAATCAGTTGAAAAAAATAAAAATGTGTTTAAAAAGCTGAACAGAGCAGAAATACAGCCAAGATTAGCAGAAAGGCATTTAACAGACAAAAGGATGGTGAAAAAGCTCACATTTCCAGAAAAACAAGAAAAGTACAAAAAGTTGCAATTTCTGATTTAAGAAAAACTAAAAAGTAGCTGAAATTAGCGCAAAGAAAAATAAAGAGCATATATTTGCTGAATTAAGCAGGAAGAAGCTGGAATGATCACAAACAGGTGTTAGAAGAGAAAAGCTAAATTTAGCTAAAAAAAAGTAGCTTAAAAGGCAGAACAATGGCTGAGATTAGCATATAAAGGCAGGAAGTTGCACAAATAAATTGAAATAGCAGAAAGAGGCTGAAATTAGCACAAAGAAGCAGAACCTGAGTAAAACGTAAAAAGTACAGCAAAGTTTTATAAATATTTTTAAAGGTTTTTAAGGTGTTGAAGACAGTTTTATTCATTTTCAATTAGAAAAAGTGCCCAAAAAAGCTAAGTAGCTGAATAAATTGGTGAAATACTAGGAGTGGAACTAATGACCACTTTGATAGTCGACTAATTTGCAATTATTTCTTCAATTATTCGATAAGTCAACAATTATTTTTGTCCCAACGTTCATCTATGCTTCCTGTGAGCTCACTTTCTGTTCCAGCTCCAGACAGTTCACATCTCATCTGCAGAGGATGGCTGCGCTGCCTTCTGTGATTTCCCATGGCATAAATGAACTGAAAGTTTTGATACATGACTTGTTGAAATGGCTCATTAAATTAATGTACCATATTTTATTTTTATATGAGCCTGAGAGAACACAGCTCACTGCTGGATTTTATTATTAATCACTAACTTGTCCTCTAACAGGTGATCCATACCGGAGAGAAACCGTTCAGCTGCAGCACTTGCGGAAAACATTTTACCCACTATGCCAACCTGAGCAGACACCGGCTGATCCACACGGGAGAGAAGCCGTACAGCTGCAACACGTGCGGCCGCAGCTTCAACCAGAGCTGCAGCCTGAAGGCCCACCAACAGACCCACACTGGCACAAAACCATACACATGTGACAAATGTGGGAAGAGCTTTGCCTACCCGAGGAGCCTGAAGGAGCACAAGTGTGTCTATGTCTGATTTGTTGCTTGAACCTTTTTTTTAATTGAGTTATTGTAATGTTTTTAACTCTTCTCACGAGCACTACGTGTGTATTTTAACCCCTGCACAGGAGCACTCCTCTGACAGAAAACATTTGAGACTATAGCCCCAAATATTCAGGTCTGAAATCCATACTGTTGATCGGTAACAAAAATAAAAAACAATAACTGGTCAAAATTAGCTTGTTTTCATTGCAAAAGTATAATCCGCTAGATTAAATTATAAATGTGGGAGCACCAAAAATGTGCATGAGCCAAGTGTATACGCACTTTCCCACTGGAAGAGTATTCCAGTTTAAATTTACGACTTGCAAGTGGGAAATTCCCACTTTACAGTATAACTGGGCCACAGCAACGTAGTTAGCAAAACTGCAGCGAAATGGAGATTTTCCACAGCAGATTTCATCAGCTACTTTTGATCCCTGTGCTCCACCAAGTGATGGGATGCTGTCATTTCACAGTAACATAATCAACGTGCATTATGGGAGATGCTGTTTATTGTCAATGCTGGCTTTAAAGCAACACACATTTTAAGAATGCATCTTTGAAGCAACCGTGTGCCACAAAATACCTTGGCAGGCCTCATTTGGGCCCACGGGCCTTTTAGTTTGACACAAAGTTCCGATGCAGCTCAGAGTGCAGTCGGAGATGAAGAGAAGCAACACTTGTGAGGATGTTTAATATTATTTTCCTTATTGACAAAGTACGAAAACAAGAGCTAAATTTCTGCATATATAGATTTGCATTTAGAAGATGTGTGGCTAAAAAAATCTATTTTTACATATCGGGATGACTTTACAGAGAATTCTGGAAATATCTGAATCTATTGTGTAATTGTTTTACTCTATTTTTGCTTCAATTAAACTTTATTTGTATAACATCTTCAATACAAGTTAAAAGAGCTTTACTGTGAAAAAAAATAGTTACATTTTGCTCTTCTATGAAAAGGCCATGCCGAACAGCAGTTGATCTTCCCGGTTTGTAAATTCAATTCAGGTGGCGCTTCCGTTATGCCCTTTCACAATAAAATATATTTTGCGATATAAGTATGGTGGCGACTTCAAAATCATTTTATTCTCAGTCTCTTCAAAATATGCAGACATTCTACAACTTAATTACTAAGTAACGTGGTTTTAGTTATTAGAAACTAATGTATTTCTACGGTACAGTGTTGCGTTTTATTTTGAAGGGCACGAACCCGGAAGTACAAGATGTTACGCGAGAGGGTCGGTTTGTTTTTCCACCGTAACGACAGCACCAAAGCTGTCAAGTTCTGTTGAAAAAATAGATAAAAGTGTTGAACAGACAGAGCTGGACACCGAACCGTCAGCATGTCGGACCTGGAGGCGCAAGTTTGCGCCATTTTGGACGTCATGGTGACCGAAACTGTGTCTGAAATGACGAAAATCATCGGCGGTTCCGAGAAAAATGGAACCGAAGTGACTCTACCACCGTGTGGAACCGAAAACGCACAAGAATCCCCGAACGACAAGGTTCGTTAATCCGTGTCGGTTCTGAGTTGTAGAAGTGTTCTGAGAGGGGAGTCCAAACCGTGGATCATAGAAATAGAACTGCTAGAAGTCTCTGTTGCTGCTTATGGATTCTATGACTTGGATTTATGTAGGTGACGTTAAACTGAAGTCCAAAAGTGACCCAGATTCGGACCGCAGGCCGAGGCCCATCTGTGAGTTGTAAGTGTAGAAGCAGCTACAGGTTTCCACCTGAACCAGGATGTTTTAAAACTCACCTGTTAGGACAGGTAAATCTGTGCTTTCTATAATCTACAGAAAGTAAACATTGGAATCTCATCAAGTACATATTCAATTGAAGATGGCCGCCACAGCTAACTAACTCTAGAAAACACAGCAATGGATAAAGTTTGATGTGATTTTAGCTGAGAATCACAACACATACAAAAAGAGCTAAACATCATATATGTGCTTAAAATTTAACATAAACTGGCAGTCTGTTAGCAAAATATCACAAAAACCACTGGACAGATTTAAATGGACGTTTACAATTGATTGACTTGGAATATGAAATAAGCTAAATGCTAGCAAAGGTGCAGCCAAAGTAGCAAAACGTTAGCTAAAAAGCAGCAAAATGCAGTTACATGCTAAAAGTAAATAAATGGAAGCTAACTGAGGTACATGCTAGCTAAATGCCAAAAATAACAAGAGGCCAAAATGCAAGCTAAAAGTCTAACAGTAGCAACATAAGCTAAAAGTGCAGCTACAAGCTTAAAGTAGGTACATGGTAGCATATGTATGGGAAATGCTAGCTAAAAATCAAAGAGTAGCATAACACAAGCTTAGTACTATAAGTTGCAAAAGCTAGCTAAAAGTGAGAATAGGCTATTTCAAAGCTAACATAGCAAAACTAAAATAAACAAATTGCTTAAAGCATAAAGAAGCAGAATACTAGATAAAAGCCAAAAGTATGAAAGCGCTAGCTTGAAGTCAGTTATGGTAAAATGTTAGCTAAAGGCTAGAAGTGTTTAGCACTACGTTAAAATTACATTTTAAAGTTGTAAAACATCACAGGTGAAACTAAGCTGACTAAAAAACGATCTAGCAGCTAAAACCTTAAAGTAGCTAATGGCTAATTTACATTTAAATGTAGGTAGGAAAATATCAGCTAAGAACTAGAATTAGCAGAATGGCAACATTAAGAAGTCAGAAACAGAGCCAGATTAAAAGGAACAGAAAATTAATTTACACTTTGTAAATATGTAAACATTTGTAAATAGAGGTACAGTTTTTAAAAAAAACTTTAAAAGATACAAAAAAAAACACCAAGTCAAAACACTCTTTTCATGAATGAGCTTAATGTTTTGATAAATAAATGTCTAAAATAACGTGTGCAGCAGTAGTGTGAATGCTGACTCAGCGTTCAGTGATTACTGTGGCTCGTTATTAAAACAAGCCTTGTTGCTGTTTTCAGCTCGTTCCTTTCAGCTGTCTGTCTGTGTCTTCAGCTGATGCAGTTCAGCTCCTTCATGACGGTCTTGGCTCAGGAAGTGTTGGTGAAGATCTGCCAGCTGTTCAGCGAGTGTTCATCTGCGCCGCGGCTGGAAGTAAACCTGAAACTGCTCGTCTGTTTCCTCTCTGGATTCACCCGCTTCAGATCCTGACTCTGACTTGGTTTTTCAGGGGGCAGCTGAGACCGGCAGAGAAGAAGCAGCTCAGAGGACAGATTCTTCAGAAGAGAAAAGTTGCAGAGGTGAGGAGCTCCTCTGCTTTACTGGGATCATTTAGTTTTTCTTCTCAGGTTCTGCTGCTTCGCTTTTGTGTTTTCATCTCTGAATTTTCTGAAAAAAAAATATTTTCTTACAGCTGTGGCTTCTGTTGGTTGTGGAGTGAAGCCCTCATCTTCAATTCACCTGTGGAAAGGCAGAATTTGTCAGGTAAAATTACTCACTACTTTTTTGCTTCTTGTTCACCTAAGTAATGTAATCATTCGAGGAATCATTTCAGCTCACTAAAACACCTTACTGTCTTTGTTCCAACCTAAAGATTATTATTATTATTGTTGTTGTTATTGTTGTTGTTGTCTCTCAGGACAGCCCTCAGCTTGTTGTAATAAAAGAAGAGCATGTGGAGGTCATCCAGGTCTCTTCTGGTCCTGATCAGTTTCAGGATGATGATGATCCAGATTACCAGGTTAGATTATTTTATTAACTGTTTTATTGGATTTTAATTTTCCTTCTGTTTTGTAAAAACGTTTCTTAAAGTCTCTAGTTTCAATCGTGGTCTCTGATGTGATTGTTTCTGTGTTTTGCAACTTAAATCAAGATTAATCTGCTAGTGAGGCAAAATGAAACAATTAAGGGTTCTGGTTTCTGTCAGGAGGAACCAGAACCTCCAGCTGACGGCGACCCACTCCACACCACCAGATCCAAACGCCTCCCGAAGACCAGGCTGTGTGTCGTAGCTAAAACAAGGAGTCGGGTCCAGAAGGAGAAAACTCTGAGCTGCAAACGTTGCAGGAAGTCGTTCAGCACGATGAAGCAACTGAAAGCTCACCAGGTCGTCCACGAGGCCAAAACCTTTGTCTGCTCTCAGTGTGGCAAGAAGTTCTCCTTACAGCGGAGCCTCAAGAATCACATGTTGCTTCACTCAGGTACGTTTTTACTCCACATACCTCATTCAGAAAGCTTCTACTGTCAACATGTAGCAGCTGAAGTCAGAGGTTATTGTTTGAGAGGCTGTTAGTAGCTTTTAGCTTTAAAAAGCTAAGAAAGCGACTGTTGGCAACTTTGCTAATAGAAGCTAAAGCTCTGTGAAGCTGCTTCTCACACAAGGACTGGTGTCCACTTTTCAAAATGAAATACATGACATTTATTTTGACGATGGACATGGTACTGTTTTGCAGCAAGGCAAAGAAAGATGTGGACAAAATTGTTGGTCCCCCTCTTTTAATGACTGAAAAATAACTTGAAACTGTCTACGGTGTCTCTCAGGTGTCAAAAACCTTTGATAATTCCAACCACGATGTCTACCAGCAGCTTCAGGGCTAGTGATGTTTCAAGTGGTAAGATTATGAGCTTTAATAAGTAAAATTATCCCAGCTACGATGACAGACAACAAATATTACATTTATAGTATTACAACTAAAACCGTTTTTGACGCCGCCACCGCAGTTTGTCCTTCATGAACCTTCGTAGACAAGATGACGGCTGCCTGTACTGGCGACCCGTGACCATGGAGATATAAATTGCTTTTATAAGGTAAAAATAATAAACCAAGGTCTTTGCAATGATTAGACATGTTTTTTATTATTGTCATTAGTGATTATCTCAATTTCGGCTAAAAATTGACAAAATCCTACACACTGTGCCTTTAAAGTGTGACAGGTAGTCACAGGGCTGTTTGGTGACCTGGTGTGAACCACACTGAACATGGAGCACAGGAAGGAGAGCGTTGTCCCAGGAGATTTGAAAGAAATTTATTTGTTAGAGGTAAAGACTAAAAGACCGTCTCTAAGCAGCTTAATGCTCTTTTAGCTGCTCATAAAACAAAGACCAGAACTCTGAACATAGAGGGACACATGGAGGAGGCTCGGTTCTGTTCTGGACCTGTGAGTCTGTGCAGGGTGCAATGAAATCTCAAGACTATCAAGGCATTCTGGAAGGAAATGTGCCATCTAGTGTTAGAAATCTTCATCTACAGGTCTTCCAACAGATTTTTTTTTTTTTACACAATGTACATTTTGTGAACTTTGTCAAGGATTCAAGGAAGTCTCATTAAGTTGAGTTAAAGTTTAACACATATACATGTGGTGGAATAAAATTTCATACCCAAGGTCCCAGTCTATCCAAAAAAATAGAAAAAAGAAAAACAAATAAATACACTCAAAAATTACAAATTACAAAAATTTACAAAAAAAAGAGATAAAATGTGTGCAACAATGCCAAAATTGCAAATACACTTGCATTAAATGTGCAGTTTTTTTTTTGTTTTGTTTGTTTTTTATTTGTTTTTGTTTTGTTTTTTGAAGTCTTGTGTGCCAGTCTGTGGTTTTAAGAGTTTAAGAGTCTCACAGCTACTGGAATGAAGCTGTTTCTCAGTCTGGTGGTTTTGCACCTGATGCTCCACAATCTCCTTCCTGAGGGAAGCGGAACAAAGAGTGTGTGTGCTGGGTGGGAGGGTTTCTCTTTTTTTTTTTTTTTTGTAACGCCTAAAGGTCATCTGATGTTTTGAGAAGACACTCACAAGTGTCTTTATTATCTTTAGGTGAAAGGCCACACGTCTGTGATGTCTGTGGGAAAAGTTTCACCCTGAAACAACTCCTGACAACCCACCGGCGCCTCCACGACAACCTGCGTCCATTTCAGTGCGATCAGTGCGGTAAAACTTTTCACATGAGGAACTGCCTGAAGCGGCACCAGAGGGTCCACACCGGGGAGCGTCTGTACAGCTGCTCGTACTGCAACAAACGCTTCACCTTGGCAGGTAACCTGCAGCGACACCTGCGCATACACACGGGGGAAAAACCGTACAAATGTGACACCTGTGGAAAAAGCTTCAACCAGATGGACACTCTGAAGAGCCACCAGCGGGTACACACCGGCGAGCGCCCCTTCAGCTGTGAGATCTGCAACAAATCCTTCACGAATAAGGGATCCAAGAACCTGCACAGGAAGGTCTGTCACTCGGAGCAGGAGCTGCCCTGCGTCGTGTGCGGCGCCTCGTTGACGTGCACCTTGTCGTTACACCAGCACCTCCAGACGCACGCCCAGACCATTCCCTGCACGTGCATGAGCTGCAGCCGGCAGCTGTGCTCCGTCGCCGAACTGCGCGAGCACCAGCAGCAGCACGCTGTGGACCGACCGCACAGCTGCAACATCTGCGGGAAAAGCTTCAAGTCATCCAGCTACCTGAAGGTCCACCTGAGGATGCACAACGGAGAGAAACCATATTCCTGCAAGATCTGTGGTCGCATGTTCTCGCAGCAAAGCAGCCTCAAGACACATCAGGTCGGTTTACGTTCAAATTAAGACTCAGTTACAACAAATAAATCTAACTTTGAGCTTGTTGTTGTTGTTTATAACAAAATAAATCAGGAGCTTGGAACCAATTAAAAGTCTAATCTCGTTTTATTACTTAATCTCAAAGTAATGTTTCTGAAGTTTCCTGTTTGATTTTAACCACTCCTCTCATACCAAAATAAGAGCAAAATAGGAATATTTAACAGAAACCTTAGAGAACACGACTCTCTGCTTGATCTTTTTTATCATCACATCTGATATAGATTTGTTTTTAACTTCTTGTTCTCCCACAGACCATTCATTCTGGACAGAAACCATTCAGCTGCAGCACCTGTGGAAAATGTTTTAGCAACTCCGGCAACATGGGCAGACACCAGCGGATTCACACCGGAGAGAAACCGTACACCTGCGACACGTGCGGCCGCAGCTTCAACCAGAGCAACAGCCTGAAGGCCCACCAACAGACCCACACTGGAGAAAAGCCCTTCATGTGTGACAAATGTGGGAAGAGCTTCTCCTACCTGAGGAACTTGAAGGAGCACAAGTGTGTCTACATTTGAGATGTCGCATAAGTTTTAAAAACGTGACTTTTTTTTATTTGTTTTTTATCAAAGCAGACTCATTGCTGAGTCTCTAACTCATCTCGAGAACACTACAGGTGTATTTTAACACCTAGACAGGAGGCTACAGGTATGAAATCCACACTGATTATCAATAATAATATTTTACAAATTGAAAATATTCTTGTCTTCATTTTAAAAGTGTAGTCCAGTATTCATAGCAGGGCTCGCTGGTCTCTTGACCCCAAACACTCAGAATTAATGCATTTTCTGAAAATAACAACTACTTTCCAACAGTTGCAGCTGGATCCTCCAGCAGTCTGGGTGCGTAGCTACTAAAAAACAAACCTTTAAAAGTTCTAGTTCTGCTAACTAAAAGAGGTCCTGAATGGTCCCGGTTCATAAACCAAAACCATCTCTCTGACAGTCTGCTGCTTTGCCTTAAAAACCAGTGAAATAATTAAAATCCATCCTAAAATCACCAGGCAGCCGTTGTAAAGACTGATATGAGCTAAAACTTTTACTGCAGAAAATACTTTCATGACTTTCAGCTCAGCTTCAGTCAGTTTAAAGGGTCTGAAATCTAGTTTTTGTTAGTTTGAGAATAAGATAAATGCAAACAAGTGATTTCTAATAAATAAATGCACGAACAGCTTTTCCAGCATTAATATGTTTAAATCATGTCATACATTACTGCACTGATTGACACTTTGTTTTAGGACAGGGGCGTCAGACACATTTTCACTGAGGGCCACATGAGTGTTATGGTGGCCCTCAAAGGGCCAATTGTGATTAACTTAAACTAAACATGAAAACATCATGTTTCTCATCTCATTGCTACGGCTGAGCATATGGGATAAATCTTGTGCCAGCAGGAACTGAATTTGAATTGCTCAGATTGAATCTGAATGTGCTTAATTTGAAATTGACTGCATTGGTTTGAAAATAAATTCCACTAAATTGAAAATGAATTCAAAGTTTTGTATCTGAATTAATTTGCTTTGAAACTTTGGTTTATTAAAAACTCAGTTTGACTACTTTCACTTTCAGTTCCATAATTCAGGTTTTTGTGTCGCACATCCTGGTCCTTGAGAAAGCCAGCCAGAGTAAATGGTAAATGGACTGTACTTATATAGCGCTTTTCTATCCATCCAGGACACTAAAAGTGCTTTACACTACAATCTGTGTCCTCATTTACCCATTCACACAGCACTCTATTAAAGCTGCGCAATCCTTTATGCATGAGGCCCCAGCTCTCTGAAGGCACCCGAGCCAGGAAACCAGGCTTCCAGGTCCAGCTTCTTATGGCTGCGTGGTTTAAGGCGCCTGCGGGGAGGACAACAAAGCACACCGTTAGCCTGATAACCTGATCTGGGTGTGAACAAAAAGATGTTTCAGGTTTCCGGGTCTTTTCAGGCAATAAAAACTGCATGGTGTGAGAAATACCGGAGACGATGTTGACGATACAGTAAGGAATTCCCAGCGACTTGGTAGAACTCCTCTGCCGTTCCGATCATCTCATCGAACATTTCCCAGGATTTACCGTCGTGTGAGGAGGCGTAGACGAATTGCTCTATCTGCATCACGGAAACACTAGGATCAGGTCCGAGAAATCGTAACCAAACATTCCTAAAACACGTGAGGACAAAAAGCGAAATGAACGCGAGAGAAATACGGTCTGACCTTCTCGAACTGGTGAACCCTGAAGATCCCACGGGCGGGACACCCGTGGGAGCCCACTTCCTGTCTGAAGCAGGTGGAGAAGCCAGCGTAGCGGATCGGCAGGTCCTCGGGCTTCAGCCATTCTTCCCTCAGGAAGGCTGCGATCGGCTGCTCGGAGGTGGCGATGAGGTATTTCCCATTTATGGCGCTGTTGTCTGATTTCTCGCTGCTCTTACTGATCACCTGAAATAAACACAAATGGGAGGAAGATTTTTAAAAGTGTTTTTTTCTTCTTCGGAAGGACAATTTTTATGCAGAGTTTCAAAAAAGAAAAAAAGCATCTATATATGTAAGAAACTTGGCATAATCCACACAATTTTATCCATTTTGTCACAAAACTGGCATATTTTCTTTTGATCTTGTCAGCCAAAGTAAAACAGGAAGTGACATCAAAGGGGAACACTTTAGGAAAGAAAACTCCCTCGTCTTGACTCTTCTTCATCTCTGATAAAAGCTCTAAATCTAAAGAAACATCAGATTCTCCTCTACAGTCTGTTGTTAGCTGTAGCAAAGCTCTGTTCACATTCAGACATTCCCCTTTGACATCACTTCCTGTTTCTTCACATACAAATATCTCAACAACTGTTGGTCTCAGCAACATGATTTTTTTAACAGTGTGTTATCAATGTTAACTTTACAAAAATGCATTCATATTTATTATAAAGATTTGACGTCACAGGCACTTTAAGTTTCGACAAGAAGTTACGGAAATCAGTAAACCGTTTGCAAACCTTATAAAGCTCTTCATCAAACTGGCTGAGCTGGGCCACTTCCTGCATGACCTCTTTCCTCATGAAGAACGGCGTGTACAGCATGGTGTAGTGTTTGCTGTAGAGGATCCTTAAGCCGTAGTTGATCAGGGCCTGTTCCAGGAACACCAGAGGCCCCTAAACACAACCCGGGCAAGAAGAAACAGCTGATTTCTAAACTTGCAGTCAGTTAATAAACCATCTGTTACATTAAATCCTCTCTTTTAGACAAACTGCAAACAGGACTTCATATGGTTTTCTTCTAATGGCTTTATTCTTGCCACTCTTACATAAAGACACATTTGTGCACCAACAGTTGTCCTGTGGACAGATTCCCCTACCTGAGCGGTGGATCTCTGCATTTCATCCAGAGTCACCATGAGCCTCTTGGCTGCATCTCTGATCACTGCTCTCCTTGTTCAGCCTGTAAGTTTAGGTGGACGGTCTTGTCTTACTCTTTCCATTTCCGGATGATGGATTGAACAGTGCTCCATGAGATGTTTAAAGCTTGAGAAATCTTTTTATAGCCTAAGCCTGATTTAAACTTTTCCATAACCGTATTCAAGACCTGTCTGGTGTGTTCTTTGGACTTCATGATACTAGTTGCTCCCCAATATTCTCTCGACCAACCTGTGAGGCCATCACAGAGCAGCTGTATTTGTACTGAGATTAGATTACACACAGGTGGACTCTATTTAGTCATTAGCAGTGTAGCTGTAATTTGGGTATATTTTAAAATTGATAATTTATGATTTAAATCTATAAATTCTTACCTCGAGGCACCACTTCCCTTTTATTTTGTTATTACACAGGAACGAGAAAACTAACTTTACTGTAACCAGTCTCACAGTAAATCTACCCAAAATTATATGATGAGTTCTTTTCTTAGAAGAATCAATAATATCTTATCAAGACACAGAAAATTAGATGTTGTCTCATGCTGACCATTTCTCCACGGGTCATTTATTCATAGATTAAATATATTTACACGCTATGGCAAATATGAAATGATGACATTATTGAACCATGTAAAAACTGAAAGTTTTGCAATCACGAGTGAATAACAAAACAAACAAACAACAAAATAAACACTAAAAGGGGTTTTGAGGCTGGAGTGTGGTGAGAGGAGTTTGCTTTAGCTGGGAATTTAACTAAGGGATCCTAGTTAAATGAGGGAGAGAAATCGTTTAGATGATCAAATCTCATACAAAGATAAAGATCAACTCTAAACTGAGCACCTTGTCTTTCACCAGCAAATTGTTACTTTTCCGTTCCCTTTTATTCTGCTGATGGCGGTACCAGAAGTAGGCGTCGGCTGACCCAAGAATCTCAGGTGATGTTTCCCAAAGAACTGCTTCAGTGTAGTGGCCAGTCGGACCCTCAGGGTGTCTGTTGGGCTTCTGGCCCTTCAGTCAGAAAGGTGGGCTGTGAGCTGGTTAAATGACTATTTTGCTAATTACTATCTTCTGCTAATTTTAGCTACATGTTGCTGTGTTCAGCTTGACACAGTTTTGCCCTTTCTCTACAAAATTTTCATTTTTTTCTGCTTTCATCAAAAGTCATCTGTTCAAATTTAACTCATATTTACAGTTTTGCTATCAAATCTTTTCAGCTTGATTTCAGCTGCTTTCAGCAAAAGTTTTCAGCAATAAACATTCACACTGCATGAAAATTCTCTGGTTTAAAACGGCTTCTTGATGTTTTGTTATTGTGTTTAAAATATTCAGTAACAGAAAACATGTTTTGTTTTCACATTTTCATTCTCAGACCCGTTCTGTCAGATTAAAATATTCTACTCTCTGTTCAGCAGATGGTGCTAAACTCTAATTTCTTTTGGTCTCTGAGCTGCACAGGGTTGTGTTTTGATAAAACAAACACACACAATGTTGTTAAATGTCATCTAAAGTCATGTGTTTGTTTATGTGTTGGTTCCATCAGGGTTATTGTGGTCTACAGTTGGATCAATTTCTGCTGACCTGCTCCACTGTGTACACACACATACACATTTTCCTCCTCTATAACCCATTAGATATATTGACAGTTCCACATTCAATATTTTTTGTTCTAATTAGTTTTAGGCACCGCTGAAACAGTGCTGCTAATGATGCCAGAGTTCTCTGAAAGCCTGTGTTGGGACTCTGCAGTTTGTTGGCTGATTCGCTTCGGCTGATCTTTACTCCATCGATCCCTTTCAGCAGAACTCTGCTCTGCTGGCAGATCTCTGCTCGTTCCGGTGCCGATCCCTCCGGTCTGCAGGGTTCTCCGTCAGAACCAGGAGGTCTACAGCTGAGGAGGAAGGATGAGGCCCTGGTTTCGCTCCAGCAGGTTCAGATCTGTCCAGGTAAGGCTCGTTTCCATGTCAGGGCATCTGGAGATTCAGAAACAAACATTTGTGAAAAGCTCCTGGTCTCTTTACTTTTAACAAAATGATTTTTAGCTTTTTAAGATAAATGATGATTGTACAATTAGCAAGTCAGCTCTTTAGATCATAAATGACCAATTCAGCTGTCGGTAACGGAATACTGAGTCAGGATTCACACAATCAGCTACTGTTAATAGACTCGTATCAAACTTTGTGTTATTACAGCTGTTAATGCACCAAAATAAAACAATACCTGAGGGTTCTGATTTATATTTTTACACTTTTCTAAATATTTAATTTTTATTCTAAAAACTATTTTAATGCTGGCAATTTTAATAGTATTTCCCACAGTGAATTTTGATATGTAAAGTTTACAACAAAGCATCACAAATTTGCAGAAATTTGCTAAAGATCTGAAACTGAGTTTTTGCAAGAAACAAAAAACTAGAAAAAGCTGAAAGCATCTATAGGTAAAAGTTAGTATGCCAGCTTTCTAGCTAGCATACTAACTCAAAGATGCAAAAGGCAAGTTAAATGCTACTAAACGTAGTAAAATGGTGGCTAGATACTAAAAGTTGCACAAGGCTAGCTACAAGCAAAAAGGCTAATAGTAGTAGGAACGTAGGAAAGTAGAAAAGGCTTTTGAAAAGAAAAGTAGAAAAACAAGCTAAAAGCAGCAAAATCATAAGAGCTAAATGTTGCACAAGCAAGAAAAGGCTAATTAACAGTAGTTAAAATGCTAGCAAAAGTAGCAAAGACTACCTAATATAAAAGTTAAATGCTAAGTAGCAAAATTGCAGCTTGAAACTCAAGGTAGAAAACGACTAGTGAAAAACAAAAACTCCCTAAGCATTAGCTGAAAGTAGCAAAACAAGAGGCTAAAATGTTCAAAAGGCTAGCCTCAAGCAGAAAAATGCTAATAGTGGCAAAAGAAACCTAGCAAAGGCTAGCAAAAAGATAAAACTATAAAATTTTAGCTAAAAGTAGCAAAATGCTTGAAGCTCAATGCAGCAAAGGTTAACTAAAAACCAAAACGAACTAAATATTAGGTAAAAGTAGCAAAATGGAAGCTAGAGACTAAAAAGTTCAAAAGGCAGGATCCAAGCAGGAAAAGTTTTAAAGTATCACAAAGCAAGCTAAAGGCTAAAATAGCAAAAGGCTAACTCAAAAATAAAATGGCTAAAAAGCTCTTTAAAAAGTCAGAAGCTCAAAAGGCAAGAAAAAAGTTACACAAAGTTAAATGTTAGGTAAAAGTAGCAACATGGTAGCTAGAAGCTAAAAGTTCAACAAATTCAATTAGTAATTGCAAAAAAAAGCTAGTTAAAAGGAGCAAAGGATAGCTAAAAGATAAAAGTAAAATGATAGCTAGAAACACACGGTAGCAAAAGGCTATTTAAAAGCCAAAAATATCTGAACATGAGCTAAAAGTAGCAAAATAAATGCTAAAAGGATAAACTAGCAGAATATTATTTAAAAACAGGAAAATGATAAGAAAGGCTACTTTAAAAATATCTAAATGTGAAGTAGCAAAAGGCTGGCTTATACCTGAAAGTAGCATCAGAAAACAAAAACGAAGTACGCTAAAACTGCTAAAGTAAGCAATAATGTGAAGCTGCTTTCACGCTATTTGCTTGCTTTTCGTTTGTGTAACTGCTGAGTCAACATTCATACAAATAGTTGGAATGAAGGATTTTTTTTTCCGTAGAGTACCTGAAGGCAGCACCAGGCGCGCGCGTGTGCTCGCGCCCCGGCTGGTCCACTGCTGACGTCCCTCCCTCATTCTCTTGTCACTCTCGGCAGCTGAAGACGGGGTTCGGTTGTTTTTTTCTGTCGTCGTTTTTATTATTATTATAGTTTCTGTTTTTTTTCTTACCGCAACAAATGCTCGGTTTCTGGCTCCGGGAGTCCGTGCTCGAGCTGTGCCGCCGGTGACTTTCGTTCCACCGCGACGATGAGGGACGCTAAGGGCGGACTGAGCTGAGAGGAAGAACCGGAGAGAGGCTGCCTCTTTCTTTGATCCACAGCCCGCGGGGTCGGCTGTTTTATCCCCTCAGACTGCGTCTGTCCACCGGCGTGTAGAACTGCTGCCCCGGGCCTGTTTAGCTAACTGTTCTCCGGCTGAAGACGTTGGACTTTAGGATGCCACATTAGCTAGCTAACAGGAAAACACAAACTGCCCCCCCTCCCTCCTGTTTTTCTCCTGAACTCAACCCGCGGTGGTCTCACCACTGTTTCCTCTTCTGTCCCCGCATCCTTTTATCGGCGTATTTTCAATGACCTGAGCATGATTCAGCAGGATTTACACCGGTATTTTTGCATTAATCCATCCGGTGTTTTATTTAAATGATACAGTAGCATCTGGAAAGGTTCAGGGGGAGAAAGTGAAAAGCTAAGTTGTGTGTGTGGGGGGGTTCGGTCCTGCCCGGGTCGTTATTTTGGACCAACAATGAGGTGGATGTAGCTAACCATTTCTTTTAAACGCATCAGTTTAAGCTGGATCACTGTGATCCGTGATGCCTTCACGGTCTCTGACGATGAGGATCGTGTGAGAAGAAGTGGAGCTGTTTTCCTCCCTCACACACCAACCGAACACTTTTTTTTTTTAATTTAGTTTAGTTATTTTTATATAAATTAACTGTGAACACATCGCACCCCAAGGCGACTTATTTATTTATCTCCTGGACGTAGAACGAGCACTCAGGAACCCCACAAACCATGTCTTTACGCACGGCATTGCCTGGGAACGAGCGGAACCCGGACCATGTAAGTAAATTAAAAAAAAAAAAAACGCTTTCATGTTGCAGTTTGCATTTCTGAAGAACCTGGGTGATAATCCCCCTCAGCCATCACAGGCCCTGAGATTAGTCCACCATGTGTGAAGAGCAGCTGCAGTCCAGCAACGCAGACAGACTCCATAATCCCCCTCTTTGGCTCGTTTGGCTCAATTTGCAGGATGGGAACTAAAAATAAGACGCACAGGTTGATTGAATTGGGTGCTAAATCATGTGCATATAATCCACGAGTTGTTTATGGGGAACATTCACCTCCCCAACCTTTTCATTCTCCCTCCACCTGATCAATAATTAATCCATGTGATGCAGGGCCCACCCAGCCCAAAGTCATCCTCCAGTCCATCCTGTCTTCATCACATACTTTTACTTTGTCAGCTTTGCTCTTTAAATTAGAGCAAAACAAAGACTGCGTAGTTTGGAAAGTATAGGATTAAATATCAAAGCTAGAATGTTGATTCTGGACACTGAATTTGTGATTTTTTTTATTTTGTTGCAAAAATGGGAATTTGTGCTGATTTTAAACAGAAAATGACCCACAACATCTAGTTGTTTACTTAAAACATAGTCTTAGCATGAACCACAGTTTCAATAAGCTGTTTGATTTTTATGTTTTTCACCTTTAAAAAAAAC